ACGACACGTTGTATATGAGAGGCAACGTCAACATTCATTGGAAACCTGCTGAGGGTACCTTCAAGCTCAGTGGCAGTTATGGTGTTTGAACTTTGTACCGTCGGAGCCCGTTTTTCCCTTATCTCATCAATAGCCATTTCCGTCACTGGTTTAGATGTATCTGCTACATTCCTAACATACGTACGCCGTGTATACACGGTAATTAACATTACTTCTCAGATGCCTGATAACAATTTGCTGATGCCTCAAAGTTCTTGCAGCGACGGTTCTTGTACGATGCGGTTCGGAAGAGATCGAAACGGAACAGCGTGGCGTGCTCTAGAGCAAGTGTGTATTACATCCCAAGTACCGGAGTAGATACCAACCCTTAAGCACCTTTAAGCCGCGTTCCAGGCCTTACTATAGACCCACGTGAGATTGTTTGGCAAACACTTCCGCCGCAAGTCAGGCACAACAACACTCTTCAGTACTACTCCTGCTTCCCGTCGGTATGAACGGCGTGAGGCGCTTTCTCGGTGCGGCAACCACCACAATACAGGACACGCCGCCACCGCCACCACCAATTGATACTAATGGCCTACCGCCATTAAAATCTGGTCCGACGTGGCCGCCGCAGTCTCCGACATCGACGAACGGAGTTGCCTCGCCCTTCGGAAGCCCAAAGATGACGACGGCGGGCCTCTTTCTCAGAAAGGACAGACAGAAACCGCCACCTCCCACAGCGGATGATGATACTCCACTAAAATCATCGCTTCGGTCGTCGAACGTTTCAACCAGCTCGCTCATTCTTTCCAACGGACAGTTATCAAATTCTCCGGTTGGACCCTCACCCCCTCGAGCAGGTCCTTCCCGGATTGTCACCCGAAAGTCTGTGAAACCAGCATCGATGGACTCGGAATACAAGCGATCGTCAAGCCGACTCAACAATCGAGACGAGCTATTGCTCAGTTTGTTGGCCAGTGACGCTGTCGTGGACAGTCGGGAGTTTGAGATCCTCGGTTTTGAAGAAGTCGATGAACTAAAGAAAGTGCGTCGTCATGCCATGCATTATGAACATCCCTGTAACACCGCGTAGGAACACCAAGTCCTCATGTCTCGACTCGGCGCCATGGAGAAAAAGCTCACGCTAGAAACGAAGATCCGGGATGCCGCAGTATCTTTATCCAAGGTCAATCAATCGAACAAGAAGATGTCCAAGCAAACCGAGGAACAGCTAGAGTCCGCTAATCGCCGCGTTGATATTGCACAGAAGGAATTATGGCGGGTTTCCGAGCGAGTAAACGAGATAAATAAGCGATTACTGGAACATCGTGCGGGAGTTCTCAGCTATTCAGTCCGTAGCATGGAGAAAAAAATGTCTCCATCGTCTATGAACGACCATACCCCTCCAAATCACCGGGATTCTGGTTACGAGACCCCAAACAGAAGCCTATCACTTAGTCCAACAGCGACATCCATCGCGGACTCTTCTTTCTCCAAATTCGATGGCGCTCACTTTTTCGCAGGTCATGCAGATGCTATCGTGCCGACGCGTCAACGTTCCCCGGATTCTGCTGCCCGAGAAATCCTTTCCTTAGAGGAGAAGCTCAAGGCCGCCACTGATTCGCTGAAAGCCGCAGGGCAGAAGCAGTCAGAGATGGCAAGGGAGCTGTCTCATTTAAAGTTTGAGAAGGAGCAAGTCGAGACGATGATGGACATAGAGCTGCAGAACGCCCAGGACACCATTTCCGCTTTAGAGCAGGAGATGCCCAAGATCGAATCTCTAGAAAATGAGTTTCAGGATCTGTTGGAGGAGAAGAGGGACTGGGAACGCGAACGGGAAGAGCGAGACCGGCAACTAGCTGCTTTGCAGGACGAGTTGGAGGCACTTGAATCATCTAATGCTCGGGCTGCAGGGAACGAGTCGACGTTGACGCAAGCACGAGAGGCGTCACAGCAACTGTTGGAGGACAAGGACGCCGAGTTGCGGCAGTTACAGGAAGAATGGGAGCAGGACCGATTAGCTTGGGAAAATGAGCGCGCACGTTTAGAAGACGAGAAGTTGGAGGATTTGGCCAGACTACAGGAAGAGATGGACAGAGTACGGGAAGAAGATGTTTCTCTATTACAAAAGGCGACCGAAAGCCTTGAGGAAGGGCAAACTCTGATTCAAGCGCTCGTTCACAAGCATTCTGTGCCGTTATTCTCTCGCGAGCTGTCGTTGAGGGCTCTCCTATCTTCGGTGGATCTTTACCTTGAGAGAGTAGGCTCTAAGCCAGACCTAGGTATGGAGTTGGAGGAAATGAGGAAGAAGCTTGACGAAGAAGTGTCGAGACGGGAAACTCTTCTGCACGACCTCGAGGAAGCCCGACGGGAACGAGAAGATGCCAGGAAAGAGGCCCGTATAATTACTCAAAAAATGAAGGCAAGTACTCCCTGTTCATACGAGCTATCGTGTTTTTGACGCCTCTTTAGGAGCATATAGAGTCGGGCAATAGTACAATTCACTCCCCAATAACACCGACCGCCAATTTTCCCACCGAATTCAAAGGCGACGCTGCCAAGATTGTCTCTATCCTGCAGCCTATCTGGGCTATGCTTCCTTCCCCCGAAGCTCGCGCCGCTAAATTCAACATTCAACGACAGTTCCGGACTGGGTCACCGACGGCATCAGCCCCTTCCAGTCCTAGCAGTCTCGGTCACAACAACACTGCCAAATCTCTTTCAGATCTGGATGTCCGGTCCCTCAAGTCCCTCTATGACATACGTTCAGGTGCAAGTTCGTCCCCTAATCCCGGTACATTCACAGTGGAGGCTTTTGCTGCCCGGGTACAGGCGCTGGTGGCAGATGATAGGTCACTTATCGAACGCCTGCTTCGGTTCGCCCAGGCGCATGAGCTGCTGAAAAAGAATGCCGACCGTGCTCAGAAGCTGGCGCAGGAGGGCAGTACTGCTTTAGAGACGTATCAAAAGCAGGTGCGGATGTTGGAGGACAGGAATATGACCATGATGGCCAGATATGCTGGGTTGTAAGTGTTCCTGGTTATACCTATCTATCCTGTCATGACTGGCCGTTTTCGTACAGGGAGGATGAAATGCACCGATTACAAGATAGTGTGGATATGATCACGGCACAGAAGCTGGAGATTGAAATGCAGGCCGCCGAGCAGGCAGAAACGTGTCGGCAACTTACCGAGGCCAACAACACGTTAAGCGCTCGAGCGTTGACTTTGGCTGAAGAAGCTGCATCTGCTCCGGAAGCTATCAAGAAACAGCTGGAGGCACAACTTGCCGAATCCCGTGCAGCATTGAAGGGTGCGCAGGAACAACTCGACGCCATTATCTCGTCAGAGCAAAATCAAAAAGCCGCATTATTGGACGAGCTGAATGCGATGCAGACGGAGAATGGTCAACTGCGAGCGCAGCTTCGGGCGGTGAAGAAATAGTCTTTCTGGACCTGTTTCGGATTCAATTTGGATACCCCTCACGTTTTTATTCCCTTTGCAATTCTAATGTTATTTCTACTGGTTGTAGAGCGTATGTATATGTATGGTAATATGTTGTGTAATGCTACGAGCCCATTACCGGTGTTGTAGAACAGAATTCAAGTTTTGTTCGAACGGTATGACTTCCCTCAAGTGAGAACTTCGCTTGTTTGCGTCCTGATATGTATCGAATCTGCCCGCCAACTACAAACACGTTTGGTGTAAATTAGTCCTGTAGCCCGCGACCAGAGCTTCGCGAGTTTAAACTAGGATAAATGTCGATATTGAGACTTACAATATGGCTGATGAATGCCGAAAATGACGAAGACGAATGGGCCAGTGGTGTAGTGGAGTTACTAAATGATGTCTCCTGGTGATATCAAATTTGGAGGGCCGTCGTTCAACGCGTCTCATTTGTTCCATTCGATCTTTATGCTAAATCATGCAACATGAAGCCTCTCAGACGCGCTCTGCGCTCGGTTCAACTCCCGGTCAGCAGTATTTATAGGTACAACGACCTCTGGATGAGTGTCGACAGGTGCCCTACAGCTTCGCAATATATTATTACTTTGATCTTGGTAGCAGAACCGTAAAATATCGGTCCTAGTTCGTGACTAAGTTTCCGAGTCACTGCTGCAAAATCACTGAGTAGACAGAGTCCTACTAGAAACTTGCAGACGGGAGGCACAAATGCCACAGATACATATCTAAGCTTAAATTTCTTCCTGCCAAGCCATGCCAGCAAGACAACCCTCAAGACTCCTCGGTATTTGCGTGGGGGTTCGGTCATTTCCCTCATACCAGCTTTTCGATACTCCATGAAACGGTGGTCCAAGCCCCACGGATTGGAGAAAGAGTTGAAATGTATGAGATTGGATAGGCATGGTTAACTTCGACATTCGACGAGTCTAACCGAGTACACCTCGGCGGCGGATGCAGCCTTGACATGAGCTCCAAACCAGGGCAGTCGTTCTGCATCATATTCAACCAGAGAATATACGAACTCTTAGTAGAGGACGGAGACCGCAGCGTGGGCACCGGGGCACACTAGGATTCAAGGAAACAGAAGAGGCGATGAGCTGGCCAAGGAGGCAGTGGAAGTGAACTATGTAGTGGAAGCAAAGATTGCAGGGAGCAGGTCAAAGGCTCTCCCATGAAACCATCCTATAGAACATGCGTGCCGAATTAGAGCCAATACATTTTGATGATTGATATCAAAGGAGAAACTGGAAAGAGATTGGACCCGAACGTGAAAAACAACCCCAAGACAGACTTCTTCGCACCGGGGCGCCCTGGCTGAGACCCACAGGATTGAGGGAAACAACAGAGCCGATGAGCTAGCCAACTTACGTACAACCACTTTAGCTACTGAGATTGGCCACAAGCAAGTGCCGCCGCGTCTCTGTACATAGACTACAAGCCGCGGTTTCAAAATCATACGGTCAAAAAAAAAAAGAAAAGTGTGACCGAGTGCCTGTGATCGACACACACGTGATCTGTCTCCTTATAATAAATCAATCGGCCCCATTTTTTGTCGGCTCAATGGTCTAGTAGTATGATTCGCGCTTCGGGATGTCAATCCAGTGACTGCCTGGTCATTATCTGTGCGAGGTCCCGAGTTCAACTCTCGGTTGAGCCCCTTTTTGCTGAGTCTTTTTTGCTTCAGGGCCGCGTGACGCGTCGCTAGGGCCGCGCACGAAACCTCCAGGGGGGGTTTGATACCGTTTTGTACCCACCCTCCCTGGGAGGCTTCTTACCGGTACGGTAATTTACGGTTTCTTACAGGTCACGTGACTGCCGCGGAGCCATTTTTCCAAATTCTTCTGTACTACGCCGTGACGCTACGCTGCCCCATTGTTGTACCTCAAATACTCATGAATTCTGTCCCAATACCTATCAGAATTCTCTGGCTACGTCTTCTTATTTCTTTATACACATCTAAGTCTGAGAATCCTTCTCCCTGTCACATGGTCGGTAAGTTACCTCAATGAAATATGCTCCACTGACCTCTGGTTTCCTACCAGTTTCTTACCGGTAACTTACCGGTCCGAAACCGGGGTGTATCAAAACCGGGGTGATGATGATGATGATGATGATGATGATCTGGATTGGTGACCCGCAACATGCCTCATGATGGGCAAAGACGCAGGAGTATAGTACTCTACTGTATGTACATCTATACTGCTGCTTGTTTAAACTACTTATTCTAATGTTCAGCTCTAAGGAATGTATAGCTATGAGGTGGAGTTCTATGTAATGTTTTTGTGTCTCTTTTGTTTGTGCTATGGTGGTCTGAGACTGAGGGAAAGGGAGAAAGATCAGATACATAAATACTACGTGGGCCCATCACTGCCCCAGGTCCTGTTGGCCTTCCTCTTCTAGGCCTTCTCATTCATGCGGCTTGGGTTCGTCTTTCCACATGGGCAAGTCCACCTCTCTTCTCGGGTTTCCAGTGTTTGTAAAGGCTCCTGACTCTGCTAGGAACTTTGCTGTCGCTTCGATGCCCTCCATTGCACCCAGGAGGTTGCACATGACCATATTCTGTGATCCTTCATGTAGAATGTGTCGATATTCACTATATCTCAGGCACATTCATAGGATGTGCTCATGTGTCTGTAGATGTTCTCCACATTCACAGCTCGTTTCTTCTGGTATGTTGAAGAGTTCATAATACTCCCCCATATGCGCATGCCCTGTTCTACACTGCATTAGTCTTCCAAACACCTCACACGGTGTCTCTTTGAACCTCTGTGTTGGTCGGAGCCTTGGTTCCAGATGATTTGCCAGACCAAAGTGCCCGGTTGGGCTCGTCTTTGCCCATTCCTGTTGCCATCTCCCTTGTACTCATTCTCTCATCTGTCTGCATGCATTTGCATATGTGTGCTGCCCCAGATGGTTCATTGTGCATGCTTCCTTCGCCAATGCGTCCACTTTCTTGTTTCCTGCTTATCAAAACTGGGGGTTTCATGCACAACCCTACACATTGCGTTGCACACATGATTCTTATTGACCCTTATTTTCATGACCTGTAGCGTTGTAGGCTTGAACTCAGACCACCATGGCTAAAAAATCAGACGATGAGATTATTATCTTATCATGGCCTAACACTCACCTCCCTATAGATCAAGCTGCCAGGACCCATTTGTCTATCAATATTTAGTGCACGATGAATACTGACATGCATATAGGCAACAAACAGCTTGTTGTTAGCTCATAATCACTGGGACAAACCCTGAAGCATGAATCATACTACTAGACCATTGAGCCATTAGGGTATCGTAGTGGTGCATGCACTGGTCCCCGATTCTTTCTCTGGTATATTGTATATTTTATTAACAACAGTCTTGCAACAGTCATGCACCTTAAAAATATGACAATGGAGTTGAGGAAAATACAGAGCATTATAATACACAGAATAACGAGATAAAGAGTAATCTTCACTACTGGAAGGATCCAAGGCCTCATCCAAGACACGTACATGATGGCAAGGCCGTTTTGACAAAGGAAAACTGTAAGCATGGCTTACAATCAGGTGCATGAGCCCATGCTCATATAGCCACATGGGCCCAGATCGGACAGCTCAGATATATATAGATATATATATATATACACATAGTAGGTAGTAGCGCTCCTTCTTCCTTCCTTTTTCCCCACCTTTTCCTGGACATCCCCCACTCACCATAGACACGCTTTGCTTCCCAATAGACCCCATTCCTGTTTTAAAAAAAAGTGAAAGGCTGTCGTCTTCTCCAGACAGCCTCACTGGATCAATGACTCACGAATCACGCCACAAAACAGGAACAGGGTCTATTGGGAAGTGAAGCATGTCTACGGTGAGTGGGGGATGTCCAGGAAAAGGTGGGGAAAAAGGAAGGAAGAAGGAGCACTACTACCTACTACGTGTATATATATCCGAGCTGTCCGATCCGGGCCCGCGGGGCTATATGAGCGCGAGCTCGTGCACCTGATTGTAAGCCATGCTTACAAAAACTCATTTTGAGCAAGATCGCCAAACGTCAACAGTATGAGAAAGCTCCCAATGGGAGCCCCGAAAAAGGAAAAATTTGAGAACGCCAAGCGTCGTCACCAAGCGATGACCTCTCTCTGCAGATAGCCGAAGAAGCCAACCGGGCCCAGCAAGAACCAAGACAAAAGGGCCTGGCTTTAGAGTTCAGATTCAAACCACAAGTGCTGACACGGAGTCTTGATCGTCGTCAGTTTCCCAAGACAGAAACCCATCAGGAAACATGCACCAAATTACGCTGGATAAGCGCCAAGGCTCACTATAACGGACCCAGAGCATGAGTACAAAAATGTTAGATTTTGATTTAAAGGCTTCACACCTCGGTTTAGGGTGCTAAAGTATTCGTCCATGCGAGCCGTTGAAGAAGGGAAGTAAGAATTAGTCAAGCTCGAGCAGACAATTTTCAAATATATGGAGATGAGACTCGGAGGTCGATGGTGTAAATTTTTATATTGGCTGAATAACACACTAAGACATGTAGTTCCGACCTATCTTATCTTTTACCATATAAGGCCTTCAGTTACTTATTTTGGCGATACAGCTGACTATAAACAAGTGCAACGGGACACCAGTTGGCAGAAGCTCGGTCGTTATCGTTTGGACAGAAACCCTCTGTCTTTCCTCCTTATCTCGGAAAGAATCGGGGATGTAAGCGATCGATTTACTATATTGAGATGAAATTGACAGATTCGAGACGGATGTAAACTCCATGGTAGAGCAGCAGTCGGGCAGCTACTAGTGAACAAGACAGCTAGGTGTTACTACCTCAAAACTCGGCGAGTTGGACATCCTGTCAATAGGAGCGCCACATCCCGCTTGAAAACTGCTGCGACGACCTGACACACTTGAAATCAGACTCCTTCCCATTCGCCGTCATGGGGGGTAAAACAAGTAAAACGACCGCTTCGCAAGTCTGATTATAAAGGTGTTATACAATAAGGTCGAAAACCCTAAGTTTGACGCCTTCCCATTGCCTTGCGTCCTCACGCCTTCTATTTCCGACCGAATCCATCTCATTCCTGCTGCCCTGCCTGTTTGTCTTGTACCGTCATTCAACGTGTGCGAAACGGATTACTGAATCTTTGCAATAATGCAGCGAGGGTTTAGCAGGAGGCTGACAAAGCTTCGTATTCATTCCCGGACTGACTTCGCGAAACAAATTGCCCTCCTAGTTCATGCTGTCATTTACAAACAATCATTATACCAATCATTAGCCGGAGATTTGGGATTTGAACTAATCAGTGGCCGAGGAAGACGTCATCTGTTTCAAATAGTTTTACAGTCTGCCTCTTATCGTGGAAGCTCACCATTTGCCTAATATTTCTGGCTGAATTGCATCGATAGGCCAACTTGAACAAATTTATCTGCCCGCACGTGGCCGTTGCACACCATACCACTTTCGATAGTAGGATGTTATACTACGCAAGAGGTCGACAATAACGTTGACTATGATTCCCATGTGCTGCACTCTCATGCTCTTCCATTACTGCACTGGGGGCACAAAGCGTTGATGTTGGGGGCTGAAACGTTCAAGTCAATGGATCTGAGTCATCGGACAGTGAACAAAATCCTACAATATTGCTGCGGATATTGATGGCTAGTGACGGGTAAGTCTTTGTGGGATTGGTAGACACAAAAGAAGAGCTTACTACTGCCAACAAGTCTGGCTACACTTAGGAGGCTTGCAAGACTTTGGGTGCGCCGTGCTGAATTTACAATTGATGAGGTCGCATTTAATCTAGTCGACATTTGACTATGACTTCAGCATACCATGGCGGTTATCTTACCTCTTCGTCGGGCTTGATGATTGTAGAAGGGTGAGTCTTGTATAAGCTATATCAGGGATTTGAATGCCCGTACCAAAGTTACGCCGTGGCCACAGCTAAAGACCAGTTAGCGTCCAGAGTAGTGAGTAAGAGGAATAGTGCCGACCGTGTGTAAACATTTCGAACCCTAAGATGAACGAGCAAGTGTAAGTGTTCACTTCTTGAGCAAGGATGGCGAAACTCACTGTCGATAAAGGCACATATTTGTAGAGACAGAGGAAGACACCACTCCAACGCCAAGGCCCTTCTGCTTTATAGAATACAGGATCCGGCCAACTCGTTCCCTTGCGATCAGTCAAAGAAGAGGCATCACAAGTGTATCCTGAGTTTTGGGCAAGAACTATGTGGCCTTGGGATCACATTTCGCAATACCAAAACGAATTCGGTTCGATTCTCCGCGTAAACCCGCCATGTTGTCTATCGCTACTTCCCAGTCGCTAGGCAAAGGAATTGAAGCGTGATTAGCACCAATCCGTAACAAGTAATTCACTACAAGCGCCTTGCCACTGATAAACGCATAGATGTGCCAGAACCACATTGCAGTCACGAAGACAAGATACCGATCCATTCCAGATAGAAGTGTGCGACAGTCTGACCAGATGGACGGGAGAAGACAGTTCGAAATCAACCGAACCATCGGACGTGAATGTTAGAGAAAGCACCGGCTACCCAATGGCGAGATGCGATCACCTCGTTTAATGCACTATTGCATACATCTATCCAATCATTTACAAGTGTCCATAGAAATTCTTGAAGGTCACACCTAGCACCACTCTAGCGAGCTGAGGA